TTCTTAATTCTGAAACTGCCTAACATGAAAACTTGTTTCGCGTGTATTTGTTGCTTAAGTGTGGAGGCTAATTTGAGCCTTTAACTGCCCATATTTGAAGTCCAATGTGTTTTTGTATGTCGCCTAGTTTTAACCTTTTGAGCAGCCTAAGTAAGGTCTAGAACCTCCAAAATAGAGGTCCAATGCCTCCTGAACCGTAGGTATGGGACGGGTAGTGTACGCATAGAGCACGACTTAGAATTGAATTAGAGCGCTTCTAGGTAAACAATTTTAACATAGTAATCGGGTAGCAGGAGATGATAGTCTGTGCCCGCTGAATAATATGAGTAACTCCCTACCTCAAGGGAGTTGTGAAGTATTATTTATGTTGTACGGGGTGATCCTTTAGGCTAAAAAACTTAGGACCCCCCCCCCTTCTTTTATATGTTGCTATTAGATCTAAATAGTTGCATTCCTATATTCGTACTAAGATCTGTACTAATCGTGTTGTAATGAAATTCTTTGACCATTATATTCTCTTTGTTTATTTGATCACTTAGCCTAATTGTAATCCACATAATCTTAAGTTCGACCGAGAACCACAGTTGTGGACCTCGAAGAGTGCGTAATACCTTCTCTTTGAGGTAATTTGAGCCCTTACCCGATCTTTGGTGGCGTTGACTAGTCAAACAGAATTATCTGCATAATAGGTGCCCTAACGCACCTCAAAAATCGTTAGGTGGCGACTCTTCTCCTTTTAATACTCTATCTCCCATCCAAAGGAGTTGTCAATATGTCGAAACCCACTTTCGCGAGAAAACGGGGTGCGAAAACGTGTTAGCTAAAAAAAATTTAATGGTCTTAATGGTCTCGGCAGGCTCCTGAATATAATCCCGTCTCAGGTATGTCAGTATCACACAAAGTGGCCTCCGTGACGGGCGAGGATGGTGACTTTAAAAAAAACTCTTTAGATATTGATGACTAACCAATGAGATAAAAACAAATATAAATAATAGTAATACAAACAAACCTGCGCCTGTGAAAGATCCTCAGCATCCCTCGATGATGAGCCATAACTTAGTCGGCGCCCACTATGCACATCTCGTGTCGGACGATCATCAGCAACCGTCAATGGCTCTAAAGGACCAGGAAAATACTGATTCCACTCCTGTCGCATGGTCTTGCCCACGATCAACAATGGAGCTGATAAGGTCACCTGCGAAGTCCCTAGCGTCAGCTGAAGGCTGAATGACGGCATATCATGAGGCGCATCGTCTGGCTCAGGGTGGTCACCCGGCTGATCATCTTCAAAATCCTTAACAGGTGCCTCAACACCCCCTTGCTGGGGACCACGTCCTTGCCGACCACCATGACCTCGTGGGATACCCCTTTCTCTCTAGGCACATCTACCACGTTCAGGATCCACTGGTGGCCCATGATGGTACTGCTCTGGCGGCATATAATCAGCCTCGTACCCTAAGCGCTCATCATCTCAGGCATGCCTCAATGTCCGAAGCCAGGTTTGTAACCTGCCGGCCATACTCGTGCAAAGCTGCAGCTCCCTCGCCGGTATACTGCTGCATCTGCAGTCCCAACTGGTAGAACAAATTTAATCCAATAGCCTGCACAACATGTAAAATACTAATTACGGAACGATAGGTTAACGTTATAAGTAAGTATAACAAATAACATACCAGTGCCCCATGCCTCCCGGCATATGAAATGTACCGACCACCAGCGCGATGAATGGGATTCCCGATGAAAAGTCGGGTAACGTTGCGGTACCAGCCCATATACTCATGCTCACCATCCGTACGCTCAGGTGGAGGGAGTGGCGGAATCAGGTCATACCTATGGTCCCAAATCTCAAGTTGGGCCTCTAGCCAGGCCACGTATGTCTGGTCAACCCTGGAACGATCATCCCGCTGGTAATGTGTCTTAAGCCAAGCGGGCGGAGTAGGTACAAGCTACGGTCGACCAAACTGGCGAAGGATTCGCTCGGTGGCATGATGCTCGACAATATCGAGACACATCAATGGGGCAATAACTCAGCCACAAGAGAAATAACCGGGCAAACCAGCTATTAGCTCGTCACTGTATGGCCTCCATATGAACAATTAAGTAAACACATGAATCGTGAGTAAACGCAACACATATAAAGCCAGGCCAAGTAAACTTAAGTATACATGTACCTATGCGCCTTCAAGCAAATCCAACAAACCCCTATAATAGGGGAGATGATGTCGAGCCTCGACCTCACGTCTGTAGCCTCGCCTATCAACCCACCTCCTAGCAAAAGGGAGAAACGGTGGGGTGGTGCATCGGGAACGATGGGTGGTAGAGGTGGCTGGAACTGCAGGAACCGCTCCCAGTCCCAAACCTAATATACATTGTGGACGTAAAATTTAAGGTATATTTTTACTATGTATGTTATAATCATGAAAAGAATTGACTATGTTTTCACCTGCAGCAGCAGAAAAAATTCGGCAACGTCTCTTTGGGTGCGCATGCACGCCCGACACATCTGCCTATACAGGTAACCTAGAACAGCTGCACCCCAACTGTAACTAGGTAAATCATCTAGCCGCTCAAGATGATGAAGAAATCTCAAGCTGACTAGGTTTCCCGAAGTGTTCAGAAACAATACCCCCACCAAACGTAAGCAGCATCAACAATCTCGTGTACCGGTCGATAAGAAGATCTGGTGAATCATCCGTAATGTTCGCATCCATTGCCTTCAGATGCTGCCGGACGGGCGTCAACTACAAACGACTGACCCCACTCAATGCAGTCTCCTCCGCTGGCTGGAAACAGGTAATGCAATCCTGTATATTCTCTAAGAGCATGCGAGTAAGCTACAGGTAATCCATCAACCGGCAGCCCAAAAAGAACCTCCACGTCTTGAAGCGTGATGGTAGCCTCGCCGATGTGTAGATGAAATGTGTGCGTCTCGGGTCACCATCGCTCTATCATAGCCGTGACAACGCCCAGTCGAACTGCAACCGGTCGATCTCTATGATCCTGTAGAAACCTGTATCATATACGGGGATGGAGTGGGTGGGCCCTAATGAACTCCCACATATCGTCTATACGTCTGGCGCAGAATGTCTGGGACAAACACTGCCCATCCCATATGTATGAAGACCTATGCTCGGCCTGTAGCAACAGCATAGCGATGCAGGTTCGGGATGCACATGCGGAACCTCCATGACGACTACTGTAAATTGAATAATATTATTTAAAGTATTTTTCTTTTTAATTGCTTAACTTCTTTAAATATATTGTAATATCTTTAATATTAAAATTTATTCGATATTTTTACTATATTGCTAATTAGGTTGATACGTTTTCTATATTATAATTTTATATTTTATATGTTGGTTTATCATTTTATATGTTAGTTTACTATTTTATATGTTTGTTTATTATTTAATATGTAGTTTCTTATATTATATGTTAGTTTATTTTTTAGTTACTCAGCTATTTTTTACTATAATAAAATTAAATAATTAATTTTAATAACTATACATGATTTAATTATTAATATTCATATAACAATACTTAGTTTGAAAAATATTGTTATTTTTTAATGTTATTTTCTTACGTTTGTTGACTAGAATTCGAGAGAGTTTGTGTTTGAACTATCATCTTTTTTTCAGATATTTTTGGGTCTAACAGATAATTAAATGACTAATTTCAATAACTACAAAGATATTACGCTAAAGGGTACTACATTTTACTACGGTAAAAGGGCACTACATTACAAATACGGACACTATATTAATTTGACAAACGTGTCGTTAAGGTATAGCTCAGTGAATAACTGCGCTATATATATTATGGTATTTTTTTTACCTATTATGGTCGCTTGAGTCCAAATAAACCACACTTTGGTTTCGGACTCGAAAAAAGTTGTCCTCTTACTCTGAAGATTATTCCTTCTGTACTGAAAAACACAAAACCCATTAATAATGATATTGGTATTGTTGGAAATTAATTAGGAGAGGAAAGGCATTATTTATAAATCAAATTCTTTTGAGAAAAAAAAAAGAGAGAGAATTTTGTCTCACTTTGATTTGGAATCATTTATTATGCTGAAAATTGGTTCTTCCGGCTAGTTGAAGTCTTGTGAGTCCAAATTATATTTTCCAATGCCTAAGAAAATAAAGATTAGGTGTCCATGTCCAACTTTGATTTGCAACTCTCCTATGAAATCTTAGATTGTGAACCATTACCCAACTTTTGGTCTTTGTCCAATCCTTTTTTTTGTTTTTTTGACAGGAGCAATGGTCATAATATAAATCTTAATCTTCCTGGAAATAAAGAGACAAAATTGGGCCTTGCCTTTTCGCCGGAGCTTCATGGGGCTACTCCCATTTTCGAATCAAATGTTTGGATGTGAACTTTACCCCGAGAGAAGCCAAATGGACGTATGCAGAGGCGGATCCAAAATTTAACGTTTATGGGATCTTAAAGCGACCTTAAGTAACTATACAATAAGTAACTGGGTTCACAATCAAATATTTATGGATATTTAGTAGATTTTTTAATAGATATATAGGGAATACTGAATATGCAAAAGCTACTGGGTTCACGGAAACCCACATGTAATAGGTTGGATCCGCCCCTGAACGCATGACCTTGCATTGCCATTTGATCTCTTTTCTCGTGTGACCACTTGACCTCTCTTGCTACCACGGTAGCACCTAGTGTGATGATCAACATCGATCAGGTTCAAGCTACGAAGCTTACACTCATTCACAATATACTAAAATTAGCACGTAAATATTTCAGAGTGTGTTGTGGAATGCTAAACTGTAGAATCTACTCCATTTCGTAAATACATAATAAACAAGATAAAGTAAAGAAAAGAAAAGAGTGATTAGAAGTAGAGGTAGCACACAAAGGGAGATTTCACACTTTCTGAATGCTGTATAAATTATAATGACATTATAACAAACAAAACTGATTTATCGAATGAATAAACCATTAAACCTAAGTCTAATAATGTACATTGAGTATCGCCAGATCAAGCCATATATTATGAACAAATGTATCCAACACTAGAAAGCCTGCACATACAATTTCTGTAAATCAAACACACTTGGGCAGATAAACATTTTACATGTCTTATGCCCCGGCCACTCAGAAGTTCCAAAACTTCATAAAAGTGGTCAAACTAAAGAATAAAAAGAAGTAGAGCAAGAGAAAAAAAAAAGATTATAACAACATATCCTGGACCATTTCTTGAATAAGGTCACCAATAATCTGGCATTCCATATCTTTACCTAGAGCATTAACATCTTCATCGACCAATCCGGCCCAAGGAGTGGACTTCAAGTCCCTGTCCACTATATTGTCAAGGGATTGAGATGTTCTATCCCATGGAGGGTAAACATAAACACCAACTATTTCCCACACGCGTTCAAGTAACTTCTTTCCCTGAGGAGGTCGTGGAATAGGACCGACAGCACTTTTCATGAACCGAGACATTGTTGAAGCCCCTCCAAGTACACTTGGAAGTGCTTCATTCAGCAAGTCACACAATAACTTGTGATTTATCTTCTGTAATTGATCTTTTGCATACCCTTCTTCATCCTTTGTTTTTTGTATGTATGACTCTTCTACTTCTTCAAAAACTTGGTTGCTGATAAGCTTTCCTAGTGGATCCCATCTTGATATATATTTATCACGCGAACCATCATATAAACCAGAAGCAACAAGCAGGTCTCTAATGTATGCCTCGGCTTGGTCTTCAATCTCCAACATCTCCTCTTCAACTGGCTGCTCATCGATCATGGTCTCCTCAGAGTCATAAGTATCTAGTTGATTCAGTTGCCTCCTTAGCTCTGTCATGTAAAAAAATTTTAGAGTTCCATGCAGTTCCACATTTTCAAGATAGAGTAATAAAAATTGGTAAGTCCAATTATATTGCAATTAAGGAAGGTGCTAAGTTAGGGAGAGATGGGGACGAGATACAACTCCAGGAATATGATCTATGTAGTTTTTTATTTTTATTTCAAGCACATGATGAGGGACAACAATCCTGTCTGAGGAATGTTTTTGTGATCACAGCTGAAGTTTCTATAGTTTGCACAATGCTCAAACAGTAGTATGATAGGAGCCCAAACAACATGGTTAGAATTGCTTTGTGTGTTTCCCAGAAACATGATCATCCTATAGTGAATAGGAAAGAAAGAAGAATGCATGTTTGAGGACATTCAAAGAAGCTTTTAATAGTACCGTTCAAATTAGTGCTGATCTCTCTGAAAACATGAGGCATCTCGCTATCATCTAGTGGATGTACATCAGAGGTCGATGATGGGGTGAAGTAGTCTGTTTGCCTCCAATATTCTTCATTAACACTGCTGCATACAGATGCTGGACTTGGTGGAACTTCAGTGGGGTTTTCCTATAACCAAATAATATTCAAAGTTAGATGTAATGCCAAATCAGCATCATTCAGATACTTAATTTCAACTCTTTCTAGGAGTGTGTATAAATCAGAACGATTATTTAGGCTCCTTACATGTCTTTCATAAAAATTCGGTGTACCAGTTGGTGGACTTGGAAAATCTTTCATGAGATTGTATGTTTGTCCATGTGGTTCCTCCCAAGAATGAACTTTTCTACCAAAGAGTCTGCCCTTAAGTATGAAACTATAACTAAAGCTGGAAACCTTTCGCCTAAGGTTGAATTTCTCCTTTTGACGTTTTTTGACATTCCCTGTGGCCTTCTCAATATTTTCATGTTTTCTTCTGATATGGGCTCCTGTCTGGATATGGCGATCCTCTAGGAGAAGCTTTCCAAATGATGTCCCCGACACAGGAGCTGATAAGGATCTAATTAGGTTCCTAGGAGATAGGTCCTCCTCAAGCATTACATCGTTGCCAGGATCCCGTCTGAAAGATCTGCTGTGCATGTCTACTTCATCTTTCAGATTGTCAGAGTTAGTGGCTTTATCTCCCGTATTAGAAGTATATCTGATTTCTTCAGCACTGCATTTTTCTTTATTCAGAACCGTTGTAATGGAGCTTCCACGAGCAAGCCTATGGGTACCGTGAGATGTTTCTTGCTTGAGGACATTCCTCAACCGTTCTGTCAAAAATCTCCTTGTATCTCTATTGACGAATTCAGGAGAACTCGTTCCATCAAATTGAATATCACTTCTGTAGGACCTTGTCGACTCTGATCGAGGTAATGTTATTTCTAAGTCCCTAGTAACACTCTCCCTTGCATGTTTTGCAATAGATTGAGCTATTTGCTTAGCATCTGGTGACATTTCGCTATAAGGGGTCTCAATTCCTCCTCCTCTGACAGTAGTGATCCTTTTGGAACTCTTTCCTTGCAATTCACAGTTCAGTCTTTCCTTGACCTCCTCAAGAAAGTCTTCTATGCTACCCCTGTCTTCAGAAATGCCCGGAGAACTGGCCCACGACTCGTCATTAGTCCCTATCCTGTCAGGACCAGGCCTCAGAATTACTATCTTTGTAGGCGCTGAAGCAACGTCAAGTCCCTGGTAAGAACTTGTCAGAGGACGCTGCTGAAAATCGGGGTTTGGAGTAACTTCCCTTACACAGTTCGCCTTATTTAGTGCAGGTGCATGGAGTTCATTTACATTTTTCTGATGCTCCAAAAGGCCTCTTTCGGGGGGATTCACTGCTACTGAATGACCTCTAAGCTCTATAGGTTTCTCAGTCGCTGCGGTTCTCATTGAATTTGCATAAATAGTCAACTTTTCCTTGTTCAGACTTTGTTGTGCTAGCCATTGACTTGGACTGGTGCCAAGTTCAACAAACTTTGAACATTCCTTGAACCTTGCTGCTTGCCATGCTTCAAAATCTTTCTTAAACTTTTGTAGTTCCTCTTCCTGAGGATGTTCTCGAGGTTTAAATTTGTTCAGTTTTTGGCTGTCACTCTGTCGGTCAAAATCACATGCTTCATCATGGTTAGAGGAATTTGAAATTTTCTGTCTGGAGGACTGTGTTGCATGATCGACGGAGACCTTTCTCAACCATTCCTCTTTGGGACGGTTGTCTTTTATCATTTCATTCTTTTTCTCGACCTGCTTTGCCGATGATCTTCTTGTATCTAATGGTAGTGCATCCACTCCCATTAGACGGGCCACCACACTAGGGGCACTATGTCCTGTGTTTGGTCTTCTAGCTATTTCTTCTCTGATCAGTTTCTTCATTGGAGCCTCGTTCCCATAACCGTTCTTTTCTGGCCAGTCAATTATGTGATAAGTGCACTGCATTCAAATATGTGGATGAAAATGAGAAGGAATCATCTCAAAACTCTCAGAAAATTCAGAAGCCTGACTTACTTCTTGCGCAACATATAAAAATAACTGATGAAGCGTAGAAAAATCATACAAAAACGGCACATGAAGGATTTAAGATGCAAGAATCGGGAAAACAACTAACTTATAAAGATTAGAGAAGGGCAGAGTTAAAAAGTTAACACATGATGTTCACAAGAAATAAAAGAAATGAACTTCTACGTGCTGAACTCCTAGATTCTCAAATGTAATAGCAGCCATTGAGTTCTTTGTCATTCTGAACTTGCAAAATTTGCATACTCTATAGGACCATAGTTACATGAGGCTGGGGAATCCTAGCGCCCGGGTTATTGCTGTTTAATCATATGCAAATATGTCCTCGTCGTTCTTTCAAGGCTCAATATGCTAAGAGTATTCCCAAATCAATTAAGAGGATTCGAACATGACATAATAAACTTTTACCTGTCTGTTGTCCCCTCCAGCGCAGAACCTCTGAGAAGCTTCAACTGGAAACTCCGTGCTATTTCTAGGAGCATCCAAGCCTGCACAATAGATGAATCATGTATTTTCAGTTGGTTTTGTAGAAGAAGAAGAGATTGAAAGAGTCACATCACAATATCACCTATGTCTCTATTTTATTGTCATGTGGTGCTTATATATATATTGCAATAAGTTCTTTGTATTGCAATAGTTGCTAGACTAGAAGAAGAAACCATCGCGCTTCAAGATTTGAACTTAAGGGAGAAGGAGTGATTACAAGAAGATTGTGGTAAAAGAGTTTGATCATCGCCTTTTTTTCTCAAATTAGTAAATATTCTGATAAACTTAAATGTTCCAAAATCAGGATCTGCCAATTCGTCGAACAGCCTAAAAGGACCACTAATTCGGGCAAATAACTTTATAGCAAGATAACACCTTGCAATCATTACTGGCTTCCACAATATCATGCTCGCGATGCAAATTTCAGAGAATGAAAAGCACTTACCACCATGTCTTTTGTTTGAAAGAAATTTTCTTGCCATCGCTCCTTGATCAAAATCAATGAGGTCTAACAAGCTTCCCATACAGCAGGATCCTAAAAGGCACAATAACCTTAAAGAGGTAGCTCCATGTCACCGTATGAAACCAAAAACCTTCTATACATCATCCAGAAAAACAAGATCCTTAATTAAACCTAGTCCACAGCCTGCAGACACAATAAGATCAAATGATGATTATACCCGAAAAAACAACATTGTCCAAGGAAAAAGGAATAATAAAACAGAAAATTTCACTTAATTAGCTAACTGAAATCATATTCATAAAAACTGAGCCTTTTTTGTTATATTCTAATATGCATTGAACATCTTAAACATGTGAAAGGAGCAAATAAATCCAATTCATACAACAGCTACTTATATTCTTGAGAGCCCCCTATCAGATTTCCACCAAGTTCATCACAATGGTAAAAGAATTACTAATTTAGGTACTAACTGGGAAAAAATAATCAATAAACTGTAATACAAAAGGCTATGCTTAAATGGTATTATGCTTATTGACATATGGAAATATGAGACTCCTGATATGATTCAACAAAGATTAATTATTTTTTGGATTGGTCATCACTTTCTAAACTGATCAAGTAAACATTAAACATCAAACTTTAGCAGATAAATCTCATATATAGAAGAAATAAAAAAGGATTATGAGATAACACAGTAGATGCATATAGTTTAAAGAAACTGAAAAAAACAGAGAAGAAAAGCCGAGAGAATCATGACTGGATTTACCCACAGCAAAAATTACACACCCATCTTCATTGTTAGAATAATTTTAACATAAATTCAGTAATCCAATGTTATAAAAACCATAGCTTTGCATTGTGAAACAAAAAAATTTCACACACGGAACAGTAGGGTACCAGTCAAATCAAGATTTTAACTTTCCTCGTGATCAACAATCCAAGAACAAACAAGAAAAGAATGAGAGAGAAAAAAAAGGAAAACAAACAAATCATCATGTCAACTTTACAGACCAAGATAAACTGACAGAGAAAACGGCAAAAAAGAATCTGACCCAGAATGCACTAGAAAAAGTTTCATCAAAATCCTCGAAATGTTGATCAACAGTAATTTACATCAACAATTGTCAACAGTATTCAGCAAAATTATCAACTCACCGTTGAAAAACCAGACGGAACTCAAAATGCTCAATGTCAACAAGTGAAAACGTAGAAAATTAAGGGGAAAAGAAGGCTAAGGAATTGGAGGGAGAAAAGAAAGAAGAAAGTGTATTTGACTGACAGAGGGAAATTGAAGGAAAAGCTGAATGTAAGAGCTGGAGTTGACGTGTATTCTTGATGAAGAAGAACAATGAAGCAGAAGAGAAGACTAGCAAATTGGATAAAAATAATACAAGGACAATAATAATAATAATAATAATAATAATAATAATAATAATAATAATAATAATAATAATAATAATAATGAAAGAAATGAAAAAGTAGTTACTACTATTCTACTTTTTAGCATGAGAGTCCATCTCTGGAATAACACCTTCCAAAAAGCTAACTCCCTTGTTCCCTCCTACTCTTTCGTATCAGTTTATTAATAATGTAATTCTATTTATTTTTTTATTTAATAATATTAACTGAATTATATAGAAAAAATAATAAGTAATATGTTATAATAGGTTAAGTTATATTGATACTATAAAAATTTATTTCACTGCATGCACTGCACGATATATAACTTAAATCTTTTTCTATATTACTCAACCCATTCTCAATTTTCTGATAATATGATACTCTTTTTATTTTGAAAAGTTCACCAATATCTAACATAAGTCTATTAATAACTGTATACTCTTTTTGTCCAAATTCTTGGTATACACTCATCGAATAGGAATTCGTTTTCTAAAAGATTGAATACGGTAGAAATCGAGGCTACCCGATTTCGTGGACTCGAGGGTTACTTCAAGAGCGAGATCGAAATAGACCATGAGCGAGCCCGATGGGAGGCTTCGAAGATCGAAGTACTCGATGGACACCGAGACCAAGTATGTTTAACCCCGATATAATGCCGTTATGAATTTGTAACAGAATGAGCTAAATTCCTGCCACGTCCCCAAGATCGTGGCGTAAATCCTGAAATAGATTTGTACGAATCCGTACTAGGCGGTTTGAAAGTCGTCCCAATAGGATTCTTTATTGTAAATAGAAATGTACCTTATTTAGGGTTCCTCTATTATATAAAGGGAACCCCAATCATTTGTAAATACAATGAATCATTGGCAAAGAATATACTCTCTTACTTTCTCGCTCATTGTTCATCAGAATCCTTTAGCTTTATTATTCTTGTTGTATTGTTCTTGATCCATCTCGAGGTCACTTTGGCTCGAGGTCGAGACTGGCCTACATTCTGGTTTGGTTTTACTTGTTCCTTTCATTTATACTTCAGATTTCTTGGTTATTAATTAGTATTGAACTAAATCACGTATCTTTAAAACCATAAATCAAATTTAATTGTTACTCGTATTTTCGAGGTATATAAACAAAGATCTTACTGGTCTTCATGTGAGGTTTTGATTGAAAAATAATACTATTTCACAATTATTACTATAATGTATAATTAACAATTTTGAAATAATATCTAAAATTCGAGAAAATCATTGGTGTAACAAAATGGAACGAAGAGAATAATCAAATACTAAAGCAGCTTTTGGACATGTAAGAAAGTTAGAAAAAAAATAAAAGAGATACCAAAACCATGAGTAACACCTAATATAAGTGTGACATGTACAGTATGTGATTCTGATATTTCCAAAGTGAAAATATTTGAAAATGAAAATTGGGAAAGTTTGGTTTTTCTTTATAATTTTATGTGACTTGAGAAAACATTTCTTTCACTAGAATGTTTTCTCTCATATATGATAAGTAGGGAAAACTAAATAAATCTTTCGTTAAATTCGAATTATAGCCAAGTAAATTCATAAAAGATACTCCTATGTATTTTAATTTTTTTTCATATTTGTGTCATTTTTATAATGGGATTAGGTGTAGTTGATGGATCCCTCATAAATATACCTGACAGAATGATTCTGATAGATGTTAAACTAGTTTAATATTTGATGCTTAAGACGGCAATCAATTTTTAAAGAAATGCCTCTTTTAGTGCCCATGTGATAAGCTGTAATTTTCTTCATTAATTCATTTGCAGTCAGAGGACCTTTTTTTCTTCTTCTTCTTAGTTTGTTGAGCACCAATACAAGAGAACTATCAATTTTTTAGAGCGAAAGCATACGTTTTTATTTTCCACCTGATATCCAGTATTTGTATTAGGCTACGGCTAATTTGGATTCGTGCCGCATATATAATATGTAAACCATAATTTTTATTGAGTAGTATAAAATTCAAACCACACAAAATCCAAATTTAAACATAAAACCTAATAATAGTAATAATTCCTGGATACACCAACTAGTTACTAGTAACCACTTGAAGCAACCTTCATGCTCTAATGTGACATTTGGATTTAATTTTCGTTTAATTTCTAAATATGTTTTAAAAAATAATCTTAAAATAAAATTTTGTTTTTTTTTTTACCAAAAGGATAATTTAATTTATTTTGTAAGTTTAAGTAGGGAGTCTGGTGGTTAACTTGTCAAATGAACCAATTATTCCTAACTACGTGAAGCAACAACATGCAATTGTGTGCATAAAAACTCAAAGATGCGCTCTCTCTCTCCCCCTCTCTCTCTCTTTTTGGTTGGAGTAATTTGCCAACAAGAGTTGATTCAATTCCCACTAGCTACAATCTTTTCTAAATTTTTTCTTTTTGAACTCCCTTTGCAGAGATTCATATCGCCAATATATAATAATAGTATAAGTTAATATTTAGAAATCAAAAAGCAAAAGAGTAAGTGAAAAAGACAGTCTAGATGACGAAGGATCATATCATCATATCATACTATATTATAAGTGCGAAGTCTCAAAGATAAAGTTGAATTACTAAATTACTCATTAAATGTTAAGCGACTAATTTACCCTTCAAATAAACACTTTTATATTTTTTAGTACTAAAAAATAAATTTACCTTTCAATTAATTGTAATACTATATTAAAATAAAATAAGATAAATAAATCCATACATGGCCGGCTGCATTTCTCACTTATTACACCCTATTCAAGGTGTTGGAATATATTCCTTTCCTATTCCAATACTTACTGCAACATTTAGAATGCCTATTTAATGTTTTGGAGTTAACTTTCAACAATAATTACAAACTTTAAACTAATATTATTGGGGAAGTTGAAGTAACTCTATACAATTTACATCAACCATTTTTCATCATTTATTTATTTGTTAAGTTAAATCATGTTCAAATATAAAAATTGGAGAACTGAGTCAATTAAGCAATTGTTCCTCCTGTCAAGCCATTATCATTTTAACAAAGATAGTTCTTCAAATTTGGCATATCTTTTCATCATCTGCAAAACACAAAACCAAAGTATAAGAGCCAAATCAGGTAAATTTATTTCTTTTTCAGATACTTTTATTAGTGTTTTGCTAATTCTATAGTTTATTAAGGATATTTTACCTTGTTATGCTTCTGTGTAAAAAATTCCTAGATAATTCAAATAATAAAAGGAAGTTTTGTGAAATCCATGAAACATGTACCATAAAAAATTTTAACCTGTTTGCGGTGCCGTTTCTATCAGTTATTTAAACCTTACTAAATATATTAATTACAAAATATCGTTCATTTTCTGTTTCATTCCCTTTCTTCTTTTGCTTTTTTATTTTTCATGTTATGATTTGATAGCAGTATTTTAATTTTGTCACTTTTTGAGATGTATGGATACATCATCTTCGATTGCACTTTTCTTGTTCCTTTAGCACAATTTCTAAATGATCATGTGATATATTTGTTAGTAGACTGTATTTGTAAAATAATTCTGGAAATATAAATGAGTATAAACAGAAATGAACATACACAGAAATGACATAAAACCAATTCGAGCCCACTGAATTCACAGTGTTTCCTTAAGGAATTTAATCCCCTCCTAGTACCCAAGGTTATGGATTATTTCCTCCCAGGATAGAACGAATTACACACTGGTGTAGTGGTACTTCAAACCCCAGTGTTTCAGCGAACACAAAGTTCGGTAGCAAATCACAGTTACTTTTTGCTTTGTTTGATGCTAAAAGTATGCAGAAGAAGGAGAAGAAACTCAGAAAATCGTAGTGAAATTCTGAGCAGAATAGTGTTGTATTTATAGCCAAAGTTAGGCTGAAATCTGAAGAGGTGCAACTCTTCAGAATGGCTGTTTATGCAAAACGCCCACAGCATAAATGCCATTACATAAATAGCCATTTACTCAATAATAAAGAGGGAAAATAAAGAGGGAAAATTGAAGAGGGTAGTTACTTTCCTGTTACCAAAACAGAAAAACGGATTGGATTTAATATTAATATTTAATATTAATGTTTTGTTATTAAAACAAATATTTAATAACATTTCTGTTAATATTTTACTATTAACAAATAAATTTGGTCCAAAAAGTTAATCAATCAATCATTTGACCAAATCCAAATCCGAATCCGAATCTGAATCCGAAGCCGAAGCCGAGCCGAGCCGGTTCTCTTCCTCAGTATTCATAATGGTTGACAGTTCTCTTCCTCAGAATTGACCTAAATTTTATTTGATAAGGTAAGGTAATGTGTTTGGTGGATGAAATAAAGCAAAGAAATGGAAATGAAGGGATATTTACAACATGTTGAAAAAATACAAAATTACCTGCTGAAACTGTTGGATAACATCTTTTAGTCTTGAGTTTATTGACCATTCCACATTGAAGAGATAAGGCACGTCCTGGCGAAATGTCAGTAAATTAAGACATTGCCTAAAGAATTTTTAAAATTCGGTATTATTAATTTGAGCTTATTCTTTTCTTTTTTTTTTAAGATCAAAACGGTCGAATAGGTTAACCATCAATCAATTTGAGCTTATATTATTCCTTTTAAAACTTCGTGTCACATACATATTTTAATATTATCTATATTATTTTAAAAAATTATGCTAATTGTTATGGATATACGTGCAAAGCACGTGTCCAGAAATTAGTAAGGAGAGAAGAGAGTAACAAAGGTTTTTGTGCACAGGGGCGGATCCAGAGTGTGAATAATTGGTTTACTGGAACTCAATAACTTTTACTCATATTTTATATATACATTAAAAAAATCATTAAATGTTATAAATATTATAATGTGAACCCATAAACTATTGTATATTAATTTGAGATCGTAATAGGAATCCATAAACTTTTAATCTAGATCCGCCTCTTGTGGTGGAGTGGTAAGTGCTCCTTCATCCTTAACCAGAGG